TGAAGAACACGAATTCGTTTTTTGTTCTTTATAAAAATGAAGAACTAATTTTTTGAAGAACAAAAACGCGAAAATAGGCTGAAGAACATATATTCTGTTCTTCAGTTTTCAAAGAACACATTCGTGTGCTTCACCATGTTCTTCAAAGAACGGAAGAACACAGATTTCAAACAGTGTAGAACTATCCTTTCTTTAACTTTTTTTCCAATCTTCTTTGTGACCATCAGTCAAACTAATACGATTTGAGACAAGCAGATACAGCTCTTTGAACTCACCAAAAACTTACAGCATAAAACGCAAACCCTAGTCTTTGAACAAATTTCTCATTGCCACCGTAACCATCACGAAAAACCTTCGTAACGCCCATCTATATTGCAGATCTCTTAAACAAAATGTATAATAAAATTTTATATGATACGTTACTTCTTAATGAACGACATCTAGCAAAGACCAAGTGCTTCAGTCTAGAGGCAGGCTAAAGTGCTACATTTGTAAGCTATTTTTTTTTATAAAGAAGATCGCCTGTCAACCCAACTGACTCCTTGCTTTATGTTATCCAGAAATGTGTGTGTAGAGACACATGTGTTTTGTCTGCTAAACTCACTCACTTCACTTTTCCATATTTCGTATAAGCAAAACTATTAAGAATCCCAATGGTGGAATCAGATAAATGTTATGAGACAAAAGTGAGCATAGCTAAATCTGAACATTCACAACAATTCCCAATTTAATATATACGTGTGAAATTAATTTTTTTATAAATGATGAACTAAAGTAACCAACCATAAGGTATTCGTTCAAAATTATGTTCTAACTGCGTTCCAGAAAGACAGACGAAATTAACTATTAGGGTTAAAATTGCGATATTAGAAGAGTTGACGCTTGACCTGGTGAAAAGGGTTGCTTGTATGTTCTTTCCGCTTCTTCTCTCTGTAAATACTTGATCTGATCCATCAGTAGTGGAATGTCCATCCAAAGAAGAATTTTTAGCATGCAAAAAATATACCAGTCGATAGCATTTTTCATCAATTTGAAATGTATCATTCTGTCTATGTAAGCTAAAAATGACTAAACAGACTAGACTTAAGAATACTTTCGACTCCAATTCTAACAACTCCGAGTGCCAAAACCTGACTTCATTTGGCGACTAGTTCTCTTCAAGGAGCCTTAGTTAGAGATCATTAACTAGTTCTAACTAGTCGATAAAGTGATTCGACTCGGTTATTCATTAAAATTAGAAAAATTAATGCCAGGGATCAGAATCAAATCTACTAACGTATGCATGTTGCGTGCAGGCAATTAATCATGTGTGCAGATTAAGGATGGATCAGTTTCCGAACAAAAATTGACTGTTCAACAGTGAGCTACTTTCTATTTTTTCTTACTATGCAGACACGATTCTCGAAAGTTTTGGGACTGGTCACGGATAGAGTCATTGGAAAATTTCCGTCTATCTGAGGTGAATATTCATCACTGTTACTCGTGCTTGACTAAAGTGAATAAACTTTATTGTCATGAATAAACAATAATAACTCTATTTTAGTTACATATTCGAAGTATGGTACAACAGACGATAGTAGCAAACTGGATTCGAATCTAAATGGTTTTATTGTATTTAATGGTGATGACCAGATAACGGCAGATGGTTTTCTTACAGAAATAACTATTAACTGTTTCACTTTACCTAAAACGACAATGACTCCTACAGAAAATATTCCTAAACGTGAGGATATCACGACAAGTACAGTTAGGACAGGACTTACCGAATACGCTCAAATGACGGTGCCAACGTCTACAAGTCGAACACCGAGTGCTAAAAGTGTCCAAATCCCCAATGAACCATATATTTCACTCTATTTAATTTCACAAGAATTTTCAATTGATTCAAAATATCGTTTAGATTACAACCTAAATAGTTCCAGTAAGATTCAAAATATCAGACTTCCGGACAAACCAAAAATAGATGTCAAAAAAGGACAATATGTAGCCATTGGCTTCGAAAAGAATAGTGGTAGTCCATATAGCGTGAAACGAAATGAATATTCTATTGGCATAAACAATCCAGACATTATTTCTTGGAATAATAATAATGATACAACGACTCATGAGCAACGAAACCAACAAAAAATTCCATTTTCAAATTATTTAAACAAAGGTGCAGCATTCAGTTTTGTTGTTGAGCTCATCCATCATGTCAACTTTGAACGTAAGTTTTAAAGTTTCATTATTTTTTTTTAAGAAAAAATCTTAGGCACTGTGCTTAAAAAGCGAAAGAGTTTACCTCGTGTTCACTGAAAATCCATTTGTTTCTTAGCCTGTTTATAAAATATCAATTATTAGTCGTCAGTGATCAATCATCCCATAGGCCAGATCTTTGATCATAGTCAAACAAGCATCAGATAAAAAACACAGACCGCACTGTAAAAAAGAAAGCGCTCTTTGGTGGTGCTGATCCTATTTGTAGCCGTCTTGTTTTGCCGTGCTTTTGAAGTGCTTGACTGGAAAACACTTTGAAAAGTGCTTTAAAGAAAACCATTTGCAAAGCGCTTCCCAGTGGTTGCTTGAAAAGTAAACCAAATAAAGACTGCTACAAATAGGATCAGTGCCATAAAACCTCGCTTTTGAAAGTGCTCTTCTCTAGGCCACTTTTTCGAACGACATGTTTTCATTATATTTGATTTTGAACTGATAAATATGGTTTTCTAATTTTGTTAATTTCTGATTACTTTGAACCATGGAACTATTCTTAGTACCAGCCTCAAAAGCCTGATACTATCACTAATACTAACCCATAGGCTACGGCTGCTTCTTCGAGACAAGCTTCGATGACTTGTATAATCGTTCAAGAGAAAAATTTCTAAGTTATTCTAAAATCAGCGTTACATATATACTCGTAATAATAGCAAAATAAAAGAGGTGAATCACTTGTCAACATGCTTTTAAAAAGTTTCTTTTCAAAAAAAATGCTTCATGTCACACTGTTTGTCACAGTGTTTTCTCCTGGGTCACTTCAAAAGCATCTTTCTACTTTACATTTTTAAAAATGCTCTCTTTGCAATCACTTTGAAAGCACGTTTTTTCACGAAGTGCTCTAGTTTACAGCAGATCAAAAGTGATTTATTTTCTCTATAGTTGAAAGGGCTATGTTTAGCCATGCGCTTTATACCAAAACAGTTTTCATAAAAAGACACTTTTTGTAGCACATTATTTTTTACAGTGCGTTGAAACCAGTAAAAAAGCAACATGAAAGGCCTTAAACGACTTTCGTATATTGAGTGGAACTTCCTGAAAATATGCCTTGAAGGTCTCGGAGGTATCTCTATTTATCTATAAATTTTTGTTGTATTCGACTAACGAATTTACAAAAGTTTTTGCTCAAATTCAGAGATCTAAGTTTTAGTTTTCAACCGGGCAAAAGATCACTACCAAACCTTTAGTTTTTCGTTGCAATAAACCTTTTATGAAATACAGTTTTGTAGGCTATTGACGAAATAGAGGTAGCGTACGAACCTGAAGAATAACTTCTTCGCGAAAAGATTACTAAAACATCAAAAAGGTTTAGCAGAAAATGTTTTTTTATCAACATTGTAATTTTTTCAAACTGACCTACAAAACCAGTTATCTTCCAAAACACTTAGTGACTCTAGTAGTCGAATGATGAATCTCAGATATCATACAAAGCCTACAGAGTGTAGACTTGGTTGGGATTCTTTATACTTTTTTTAGGTTTAATAGTAAACTTTTGCTTTTTTGGAGAGTACTGGTCAGATTTGGTCGAGTTCATCTAATAATAGTTGAGCAAATGGAAATAACACGAATAACCACACTCCTTACACAGCTACGATTATATGAGTAACGTTTTATGAGCACATTCATCAGAATTGTTTCTTACGCACTATGTTAAAATAAGAATAAAACAACAGAATAAACATTATTTTACCAACACACACACGGTAAAAAAAAAGCGTTCAAAAGTTGACGCTTTTAGTGGGCGGTATTTTAATCACATCTTGGTATGCTTTTTTGTTAGACGGTTTTTTTCTGGACGAATTTTTTCGTATGTTTTTTTTGCTAGATGGGAAAACAAAATTTGAAAAGATTTGAAACATTTACTCAGTTTTGAACCGACTATATTTTGCAAGCACGTCTGATCTGCTGAACTGATCCACTATCGCAGGAAAGCAGTCGTTTCTGAGATAAGCTAGTGCAGTGAAACGAGTCATCTATGCAGTATGCACTTAAATACGATGCTTGGACGAATTTTTGTCCACGCTTTTTTTAGTATACTTTTTGTGAACGTTTTCTAGTGGGCGCGTTTTGACGCTTCTTTTTTTACCGTACACATATTATGTTTCATATACTTGCTAAGTAGTTTAAGTACTTGCAGAATTTATTCAAAAGTAGCACTAGCCAAGTACATTATTTACTTGTCAAACTTTCCTCTGGTACTTGCGGGATACTTGGGCAAGTACTTAACCAAGTGCTTGACAAGCAGATCAATTAATTCAAGTACTTGATTTACTTGACAAAAAAACCAAGAACATGGGACAAAACTTGCGAGGGTACTTGCACAAGTACTTGTATGCATGTACATTCACTAGAGTGAAAAACAATGAAGTATTAGTTAGTTTTTGTTTTTGAAAGAGACTGAATAGCAACGATAAAATGATCGTACACTCTAAGAAAAAATCGTAGATTAAAAAATCGTCAACAGTTTTTGAAATCCGATAAAAAATCTTTCTCGAAACTAAAGGATCAAATATGGTTGTTTATAGATTAAAAAACCCATGACTCTTTTGGTCGGTCGTTTTTTGACCGAACAGTGCGTTTTATAAAAAGATCATCATGCTTTTTTTATTATGACCCTGACAAAAAAAAGAGGATCAAAACACCGTTTCGGTTTTTTACTATTATTGAAGAACTGGTGACGTTTTCCAAAACGAATTTTGATAATAGATTTTTTATTAGGACCAAAAGTCCGATATAAACTTTTGCTTATCTACTCTGACCGAGGTGCTTGATTTTCCAAGTTTTGTTTGTCACTGTGGAAATATCCATCGGTCTTGTATAGTAAAGTGTGCACATGCGATCTTCCTTTCAAACCAACTAAAAACTCAAAGGCTTTTTCGATTGTCCTAAAAAATGAAAAAGGGTTTTTACTTCTAGCGAAAAACTGAAATGGCGAAGAAACTTGTCTCTCGCAGAATAACTGCTCGATTGGAATGATTCGCTTATTACAAACCCTGTTTTATCCATTTGTGTCCTTTTTAAAGCGTAAATGAAACTATTGTACAGATTTTACTTTTCCATCACGGGTCTGTGTTTTAGTAAAAGTTCTGTGTGCAAATACGCGAGTATTTGATTATTAATTTTTTGTTCAGATACCGTCTTTTAGGTTTAAGGTCAGAGATTATTCCATCAAAATCGGACATCATTTTCGCAGCCGATAAGTTTATGTTTAGCCTTTACCAGGGACGCTTCCGCTGTCATATTTTTTTTTTTGTGGTCTCTGGATTTGACGAGATACCGTTACTGTACTGACTCTAGCTTCAGACTGAAACAGTCTGTCTGCGTAGAATGCATGGTATAGGCGATTTATCGCCTGAAAATGAAGCTTCATTTATAACAGAAACAAATACCATGTACTGTATTCAGACTTGCTCTTCTAAAGCCGAGCATTTAGAAAACTTTCACAAAAGTACATATAACTTAGGAATTTAATTTAATCTCGAGCATGCTGCGCTAAAGCCAATGCTGTTTCATGTTAAATGCTCACTCACTTTCGTTATTTATAATTCATTTTGTAACTGTACCGAATGATTTTCGGTTTTTTAGATGTAAAAAACCGTCTAAAAAGTCATTTTCTTTAAAAAACCAAATAAAAAACGTCAATTTGGTGGTATACTATGCGGGGTTTTTCAGACTGGTTTTTTATTTTTCGCCGGTCAAAAATCGTTTTTGGTTTGTTTATGTCTTGTAATGCGTTTTTTGGAGGATTTATTACTATTGAAAAGGGACTTTTTAAGACTTTTGTAAAAGAAAAAGTGTTCAATATAGTTACAAAATGAAATTGCCTGAAATGCATGGTGATGGTAATGGTCAGGTAATGTAATTTTTTTTTGTTACCGCAGGAGTCTACTACTAAGATAATGTTGTCGTTGTGTTAAGGTAAATTACGTTTTTTATCTACTTCGTAACTTTGTTTGTAAATTCTAGTCCCGCTGAACAATCAGCCAAATGAACATGGTGGAGAGCCCATCAATAAACCATCGAAAAAATTAAGCAAGAATGACGGTATATGTCGCATATCAACATTGTTTTCGATGGATGATAACAGTTTCTGTTTTGTAGATAAGATTAGTAAATTTCAAGAACGAGATGACATTTTACGTGAATTCAGTATAGCCGAAGATTATTGGGAAAAAATTATTTCTGAAATAAAAAAGCGAGAAAGAATGGAAAATTCAACAGCAGAGACAACAAATATTGCCAAATAAGAAGAATTACTAACACACTTTTATTTTTGATTAAACCAGCAGTACTATTAGTTTTCACAAAAATACGATAGATAACTTGGTTATATTTTTTTATCAAAATGAATAAAATAACTCTCATCTGCTGTTTCTTTTAGATTTAAAAATCATAATTATCGATCACCTTTGGAACCAATAATTTGCATGAGTACAATTAAGAGTATGATAAAGTCTTTTTAAAAATTGTTTAAAACTCAATAACTCCAGTTATAATTCTTAGACAAAGCCAGTATTTGTTTTCATTTTAATCATAATTCCTATAATAATTTTCTAAAAATATTACAACTTAAGCTAGGGGGAACCAGAGGTGTGCGGATTTTTTTACGTCTCGTCTCGTTGTATCCCATAAGGACTTCATCCCGTCTCAACAAAAATTTTCTAAAGTCTGTCCCGCCCCGTGGTGTCCCGTAAAGACTTAATCCCGTCCCGTCCCGTCTACGCGGTTATTTCTGGCACCATACTACAACACATAGCTAATAGTCAGACACTTTCATTTTTTCTGTAAACTTCTCCCCTCAAATAGACGGCCAGTCTGGGGCGAAACGTTTTGAAAACCGCTTTATAGGGAGGGGGAGGGGTACGGCAGTTTTTCATCAAAAAAAATGCGATGTGCGAAACTATAATAGAAGATCATGGTCTTCTATTCTGGGTGTGGGTGAAGACGGAGATGAGAAGAATGTTTTGGCCGATGGGGGAAAAGAAGTATGACACATTGATGGCACAGAAGAGGATTTGGACGGTGAGGATGGACCATTATCGATGTCATCAATTTTTCGCTTAAAATATGCAACCGTGTCTGACCATCTTCAAGTGGACATTTCTGATGATTCAAACCAGTAGCTGAACTGTCTTTCAAAACGTATGTGATAACACTTCTTGCAGCTAGCCATCTATTTGATTACACGAAATTCAGCGTTTGCATCTGCTTCAGTTTGGAAGCCGAATGTATCCTATATTGATGATTTTGTTTCATACGAATTATCAACACTTTTAAACGTCAACGATATTTCTTTTAAACTGTGTTTCACTATTCTGGCGTCATGGTCATCGATGAATGACGATCCAAAGAGGAGAAAATGATTTTTGATTATACACAGACAATGAAACCATGATTTCTTTCGATTGTAGTATACGAAGAGTAAGAGGGGAGAAGAGTCGTTCCAATAAAAAATAGTAAACAAAAAACGTAAGGTTTTATCATCGTTGAACATTCTATCTCACGCATTTTATTGAACGAATTTTCTGTAACACATTTAACCACGAAAACTTCCGTAATAATATAATACGATTATTCGCTAGGACGCTAGTGAATACAGTTTTGAAGAAGTAGCTCTTGACCCGTCGCAACGATTAACCCATCTCGTCTCATCTCGTCAAAAATTTTCTGGAATCCATCCCGTTCCGATCCGAACCGTTGAGACGGGTCAGGACAAGACTATCCCGCGCAACTCTAGGAGGAATTGATTCAATTTCATTCACACATACTTGTCAACCATTGCGACTAAGAACAACATCACAAGGTTCACCAGAATTCTGTGATCAAAATGAATAATAATAGGTAGATACTAAAGACATACAAACAATTTATTATATAAAATCCCATCAAATTAGTTCTGCTTTGTGTAAAAATTTACAAGTATGTTATCTATCTTATTAGGGTTTAATATGATTCGTGTGAAAATCTCATTGGGACCTTTTACAGACAAATCTGATAAGATTCTTATTAGAATTAATGAAACCTATTCGTCTAAGACTATATCCATATTTTATGGTGTCTTAACTTGTGAAATCAGTCGATAACACGAGACACCGATTCTTCTGCAAATTAAGTGCTATCTTCTTTATCAATTTCTTAGTATAAACAGATGTCATCTCCCTGAAAAAATGTTATCAGGCAGCTCACTCTCATGCCTTGTGTGCTCTTCGCTGTCCTTATCTATGAGACATTGTAGAAGCTATCCTCTTCTATATATATAAATCGTATGGTAACTTGTGAAATCTGTCTTTCTAGAACTTTCACTAAGTTACATATCACTATTCTAGTTGTATGTGACAGCGCAGACGATTTTCATTGCTTCGTGTTTAATTGTAGGGATTAAGAAGAACTAAAATTGTGTAGTTAATGTATTTGTGACGCTTCGCAGTTGAAAAAATGTACACCAGACAATGCGAAAGAATCTGATTAAACTGAGACTTTAATACATTATGTGAAATTTAAGGTAAAACTATAAATTATTCTACACATACTACTGTACATCGAACAGTAAAATAATGAAACGAAACAGTCGCTATAGATATCTTCCTCCTCTTCGTTCATGCGACTATCTACATAGGCAACAAAAGACAAAAGATGATTTTAGCAGATTAGTTACAATAACCAACGTTATAGTGAAAACATACGCTTTTATAATCCCATAAACAAGTCTTGTCATTATTGTAGAAAATAGCACCGATTCCTGTTGCGTCACACAAACTACATTACTAGGCTAACATAAGAATTATACAGTTCTTTCATCTTTATATCCAAAACGAATTAATGAAAATTTTGTAGATTGTTTAAACCACGAAACTGATCAACATATCAAACAATTTCATGATTTGACATGTGTGCCAAGAACTATTCTATATATTGAAAAATTTTTCATAAACTTAATATAGACTGTCATAACCCATGTCATCAAAACCGGTTAAATACCGCCCGGTTACCGCTCCGGTATCCGTTTGTTACATTCTCTGGTATACCACCAGCGGAACTGAAATTAACGCACGGTCTACCAAACCGCGCGGTACACTGATCGGTTGTACTGGCGGTATCAACCGGTATTTTATTAGTGTGAGCAATCACTACAGAAATTCGAATCTAGTTCTTAGTTTTCTTTTTTTTGTTTTTTTGCAGTGCGCATGCAGCGCAATGAGGTACCCGAACGGGAAAAACTTGACTCAAGTCGAAGTGAAAACTTCGACGCGTCTCTACAATCTGAAAGAGAAAGTTTAATCCAAAAAAAATCAAAGCTTTTTGACCTTTCTGCGTTTCTTATACCGACTGCCAACCGCAAAACAAAGAGGTGAATGTGTCAAAACGGTTTACCGACGGTTTTTTCTTGTACCACGGTCTGAAAATTGGGTTCTGGTAACCGCCGGTAGAAGAAAAAATCGTTGCTAAACCGGTAGTTATACCGAACGGTACGATTAATCAGTGATAATCTATAAACCGGTCGGTAACCGTCGGTATTACGAAAAAAAGTGCGCCATGGAAAGTGACGCCTACAATGCGTTTTCTGTTTTATTTAAGAAAAACAGGTTATGGTGCTTTGGCAGTGATACGCTGAATAAACTGCGTTCGAAAAGATGATGCTTCGTATCCGGATGATAATATATCAGAGAAAGAAATCACTGTATTAATCAATATTTGGTTGATAAATGACTTTTTTATCCACTCGTCACAGTTTAACTAATATAATTGATACAGACGATAACTAAATTCTAGGGTGAGAATTTTTTTGTGTCCGACTTTCTCATTTATTCGTGCCCGATGGTACTGATTAGTGCCCGGTCCGAGTACGAATAAATTTTTTCATGGTTTTATGCCCCGAAAAACAAATGTGCCTGGTTTTTTCACCCATTTGTGCCTGATTCGTTTTTTAAATAGAAAGAGAAGAAAATCACTGTTTTGTGCCCGGTTTTATCACGACTGTCTTGTGAAAATGATAACAATTATATAAGTAGATTCAATCGTACAAATGTCCATGTTGTATAAGGTTTGTTTACAATTCGATTGGCAAGACCAACTTGAAAACTTATATCTGCAAACATGCAGTTGGAATTATGATGCATTTTGGTTTTTATGTAGTATCGGATCCAGGAAAACTAGATGATTTAGGTAAACGACGTGGACGTCCAAAAAAGGCAACATCAGCTTTATGTCACTAACATTATCATGTTGTACATATGTAATTGGTTTTTTTGGTAGTATCCATTAAATACAGAGTCTTGCGAACAAACCGGGCACAAAACTCTTGTTTCTTGAAATTTCAATTAAAAATCGTAAACCGGGCACTAATCAATGCAACTGACGGGCATATTTCTTTTTTCTGG